GTAGCCCATGAGTCGGTTCGGCGACCTACCCACCTCCACAGTGTTTTGCAGCAGGAGTTCAGTCTGGCTTCATTTTTAGCTATGCGCCATCTCCCGAGGGTGGTGAGGTGAAAAAAGTCCAGAAGGTGCCCGAAACCCGTAAGCCCAGGATGGGAGGGCCCGCTCCTTGAGCCAGCTTACCTTATATATCTGAGTTACATGGCACCACTAATGTTAGATCTCTCTGGGGATAGATACATCTTGGTCCTTGGCTCCGCACAAGAAAGAATTCACGCTGAAGGCTGGTTTGTGATCCAAGAAGAAGTTTCAGGTTCACACAGGCACCCACAGGGACCTTTACCCCATGCAGGCTCCCTAGAAACTGCTTGGAAAGTCACACGGTCTGCCCCGGGATCCTACCTTTTCAATTATTCCACAGGAAAGTGTGGTGGACAATCCTGGTCAACCCCATTGGCTGAATTGAATTTACTTGGCCTAGGTGGGCCAATCCAGGTGCAGCGCCCACCCAGGTGTACCTCCCCTTTCTGGCCGGAAACCTGAGCCTCTGAGCATGTGCAGTGTACCACTCCTTCATGGCCAATAGCTCGGACCTCTGAGCATGTGTAATGGACGCTGCAGTCCCTAAACTAAACTACCTAACAGATGTTAAAATGGATAAAAGAAGTAGTTAAAAACAGTCGAGTAGACTCCCACTTTGTATTTGGCATGATCAGATCCATGACAGAGGCTGAATGTATCCTGCATGAGGATTGGAAATTGTCAACAAAAGCTTGCCATTCTCCATCGAATTCCTTACAACAGAGAACTTGGTGGAGCGAAGGAGTTCGCAGAAATATAGAAAAGGGCACACCATCACGAGGTGCTGAAGGGATCAGTTATCAGGCATCAAAGAACAAAAAAATCATATCATTGTATGCACACCTTCATGATACGAATGCTGAAGACAAATCGGTGCATAAGCAAATGTGGCGAAGAAAGCTGATGGTGCTCGGCTATCAAAAGATATAGCGTCAGGGGCCTTAAAGGCTTGAAGGTAAACAAGCGGCCAACTAGCTCAGAAGCAACAAAGCCCATGTGGAAGAAGCACACCAGCCTGTGCGATCACGAGGTGTGAAGGGATCAGGTATCAGGCATCATCAGAACAAAAAAATCTTATCATAGTGAATAAGGGGGGCAGTGCGGAGTGGAGACCCAAAGCCCATTTATAGGCCACTGGACATCCCCTTACAGAAGGGTCTCGGGGAGAAGACAAGCCAGTCAGGGTGCAATGTAGCAACAATGAAACATACAACTTTCCTCTAGTTCCTAAATGCTTCCTCCTCCCCCACTATCATGATCACAATTCTACATTACAAATCTGGCTAGACTAGAGGATGTACACTGGTACAGATAGGAACTGGAAATGCAGGGAATCCAGGGCAGATGATCCCTTTAGGACCAGTGGTATGAGTGGCGATACTGGGAGGGTAGAAGGAGGGTGGGTTGGAAAGGGGGAATGGATTACAAGGATCTACATGTGACCTCCTCCCTGGGGGACAGACAACAGAAAATTGGGTGAAGGGAGATGTCGGACAAGGCACGATATGACAAAATAATTTATAAATTATCAAGGGTTCATGAGGGAACGGGGAGCAGGAAGGGAGGGGAAAAATGAGGAGCTGATGCCGAGGGCTTAGGTGGAGAGCAAATGTTTTGAGAATGATGAGGGCAATGAATGTACAAATGCACTTTACACAATTGATGTATATATGGATTGTAATAAGAGTTGTATGAACCCCTAATAAAATGATTAAAAAAATAAAAGAAAAGACAAGGGCACACCTATAGGGGTGATTCAGTTATTAGGGAAAGGAGATTTTATTACCGTTGAAGCCCAATTGCAAATTACTGGGCAAGGACTTTTACAGATATGTCATATTTACTTGTGAGCTTGGGAACAGATAGTGCCTTCTGGGAAAAGCAGCCCATGGCAATACAGCAGCGTAATGATGAGCCCTATGTAGAATTTGTGTCTCATCTCCAAGAAGATGTCCGTAAAAGTGTGAAAAGTAAAGAAGCAGCGGAAATTTTGCTGCAAACTTTAGTTGATTATGGCGCCAGCCATGAATGTAAAGCTTTGATCTGTCTGTACAGGGAGCAGGGCACAATATTAGACATATTAAGCTTTGCACAGAAATGGGGTCTGAAACATAGAAGGCAGACCTTCTGACTGGTGCTACAGCAAATTATGCTAAACCAAAGGGAAAATGTTTTAACTGCAAGAAGGCCGGCATTTCCAGAGAGAATGTCAACACCGCTCATTGAGCTCAACAACTGGGAATGGCAGAACCTGGACCTGACCCGCCCCCCACCCCTTGTATAAAGGGTTATCACTCCGTGAGCCAGTGTCCTTCGCAGTGAAAGGGTTCCGTTAGTGTATGCTGCCCAGCAGGGAAACAAGGAGCAGGGCGAGCTTCGAGTCCATCCAATGGAGCCCAGAAAGCACAGTTCCAGTCCAACTGGAGGCACAATCTTATCAATAGGCCTTATCACTCAGTCCCTCCACCAGAAGGAACAAGGCAGTAGATCTAACCAGTCAAGAAGTTCAGCCGATCCCAGGGAATCCCCAGCAACTGTTAAGACGTGTGTCCAGGGACCCCTACCAGAGGGAACAGTGGGTCTAATGTTAGAAAAAGCTAACATAAATCTTCAAGGTGGTCAAATTGTTATTAGAGTTATTGATCAAAATAATGAAGTTGGCCAGGAAAAATATGGCAAAGTGAAAAAGCCCTACAACGTATACAGCCTAAAGAGCAGTATGGTTTAATTAAGCTTGTAGTCACATTTAAACCTATAAATTTATGGGATAGAGCTTGGTTAGGTAAATTAATTCCAAAAAAGCAAAAACAAAACAAAACAAAAAAAACCATACTAAAAAGACCCTCAATCCTTGGATTTATCCTGTGTGTCATGAAGGCTGAACAATGCCATTTGATTTCAGCTTTTTATGGACTGACTCGACAGGTATCCGGTTCGGTCACTTCTCTGAGAGCAGAGCTTCTGAATTTGCATAATGATGTTAACTGTCTAAGTGATTCAACTGGTTTTACATCAAACAGACTGTCGACAATTACTGAGAGCATTTTAAAATCTCAAGTACTAAAACAGAAGGGGAAGACGAAATGGAAGTCTAATCGAAATACTATACGTGACAAATTATTAATCCCCAATTTTTTCCCTCTAACAAAAATTTTTAAATATTTATAGCAAAATTTCCACTCCCTAAAGAGAGAACTGACCTTAAAAAGATTTGGTGGAAAGACAAATATGTTTGGGATCTCGGTTTGCTAACAGCCAAACAGGGCTATTTGTTTATGTTTTCGCAGGGTAAGGAGAGAGGGTAGATGGACCTCTACAGCAAGTGCAGCCAAGGAAAAGAAGAAACTTCAGAGTTCCCTCAACAATAATTCTGTCCCCAGGTTCTAACAGCCCAAAGGGAGGGGCTGTTAGTTTATGTCTTTTCAGGTGAAAGAGAACAAAAATGAAGCTCTCTTCGGCAGGTGTGACCAGAGAAGAAGGACAGAACAACCCAGGGCATGGCATGGGGACAGAGGGGACCCAGAGAACTCGCCTCCTGTAGCAGACATTATTATACATCAAGAAGATATCATGGATTCGTGGGAAGAGCAACTGTTGCCTTCTAAGACTTATCATGGTTTCTGCCACTGCTACTGTCACCAGAAAGGCTCTCTAGGGCAAAACTGAACATTTTATTCAAACTCTCACCTGCTCTGGGCCATTCAGACAAAGTGGATGATGAACTGGAAACGAAGATGGCTGAGCTACCACAGACAATTTTCAGAGTATGGACTTGAAGCAGCAATTGATGCTGAAATACTGGCAGCTGTGAGAAAGCAGTCAGCAATTTAAACTCTTGCCATGGGCGCTGTTTTCTTTAGATATGCCTCTGAGCAGGAGAATCATTACTAAAGAGACACAGGGCTGCTACAAATTTATTCTGTACACCTTATTTATAAAATGATTATGATAATTCCCATCTAGCAGGATGTG